GGGGGGGGGGGAGGCAGTAAAAAGTAGTCTTTTTAAAGTCTTTTATGGATATCTAGTCTGCAGGCAGTAACTGTTTTTCTGGTCACTGTCCAGCAGAATGTGCATTCACTGATGTGCTTTAGCTATTATGTCCTTAGTTTTGAGTCTGTACCCCCAGGGGAGGGGGCTGGGAAGTGTATTTGCCGTACACAATCCTTACATTTCAAACTTGCTCTTGGATCTTGACCTCTCAAAAAGATGATTTCTGACATCAAACTGCATATCAAATATATTTTGTTTCATATGTTAATGGCTTTTATTTTTGTAGATTTTCTGCTTTGGGAGGAGAAGGCAGAAGAGGTCCTGTTGCATCAAGGTTTGTGAATACAATGTTTCATTTACTATGATTATTCTTTGATTTGCTATTTTGAAAAGAAGATATAAAACAGTTTTCCGTTTCAGATACTCTGATCTAAACATTGATTGGGATGCCGAAAGAACACTTGGGAAGCAGGAAAGGACTCTGCTAAGAGTTATGATTTCCTATGCTTTTCTTGTGTTCTATCAGCATCCCACCTGTTTAGATCAGAGTATCTAAAACGGAAAGCTGTTTAATATTTCTTAATTATAAGATGGTAAAGACAAAGAATATGGTCTATTATGATAAACTCCTACTCTTGTCATTGTTGTAAATAATGACAAGATAAAATATAATTGAACAATGAAGATATAGAAATATAGATAAGTTATAGTGCTTGGAAACGAGGTTATTCCGGGCGATTAATTTCCGACCTCGCTGGGAATCGAACCCACGATAGTACAATTCTGAAGGTCATGGGTTCGATTCCCAGCGAGGTCAGAAATTAATTTAATTCCAAGGGCTTTCACCCGGAATAACCTCATTTCCAAGCACTATAACTTATCTATATTTCTATATCTTCATGTATTTCATAAGTGCTATGTGGTCCACATATTCTCATAATTGAACAATGCTATTTTTAGACAAGGTGCTGGCCGCCAAGAGCCTCGTAGCCAAGGATCAACTGGAAGACGCCCAACAACTGAACGTGAAAAGGCAATGGAAGCTGTGAGAAACATTGTACAAACAAAGGTACAGTAGTGGAAGCCTGAAATTTGGAACATGATGTAAAAATGGATGGTGTGGCAACGGGGCAAAAAGAGAAGCCTTATACTGCTGGTTGCTCAAATTTAGTAGTTCAAGGCTTGAAATAGCGGCCTGCCAATGGTCAAATGACAGGCCAATTTCCGGTTTGGCAGGCAAAAATAATGATGTGCTGCCAAATGAATGATAAAATGGCATGCAAAATTTACTGGAATGGCCTCCTTTTACCATGCTCTTTTACCATGTCAGGCTAATGAAAATTCCTATTTCAATCCCTGTGGTTCTAATTACCTTGGGGGTGTCCTGGCTGTAATTTTAACTAGGTATTTTGCAATGTCTCAATGACCCGGTTGTCCTCTTAAGGTTTTTTTTCAGTTATGAATATTCATGTTATTAGTTTCTTGAAATGGCAGTATCATTACTGTTTTTGTGACCCTGCTAGCAGAGCCTATTTTCCTTTTGTTTTGGTTGAGAGAGAAAAATTGACTCTGCCAATGTAGGTCGTTATTTCTGTCGCGCATGTGTGGGGTAACTTGGCAACGCTCTCATGATTTTGACAGCCGCTCTCGTCAAACAATGTTTGGCGCCACGGTGTGTTACATTTGCTCATGCGCACTACATGTAATCGGTTAAAAACCGGTTTTAAAACTGTGTATAGTAGTAATAAATTATGCGTTCGGTGTATATATGTTTTAAAACTGGTTTTGTTCGTCCACAATCGTGGACGGCAGTGCATCAAAGGAAACGCTCTGCATGGCCAGAGTCTCCTTCCTCCCCGCCAGAAAGAAGGGAGAGAAAGAGAAGAGAGACTCTGCTAGCAGGGAATGTATTTGTTTACTTGACACTTGAAAAGCCACCCCCTCTGAAAATATGTTCAATAAATATCTTATTGATGCAGCAACCAGCCAAACCAGATGAACAACAAACTGCTGAACCAGAAGAGGAAGAAGAGGAGATAGAGGTAGAGCAAGAAACACGTCCACCTGCTGCGCCATCACCTCCTACAAGTAAAGAACTAACAGCAGAGGAAGTAGAGGCTAAAGCAACTGGTCTTATTGATGAGTACCATAACATCAAAGACCTAGAGGTTAGTCATTCCTGTGCAAAGGATTTCATACACTAAGGCTCAGGTTAAACGTAAGCTTCATATAAGTCAACCTAATAAGCCTTTTCATAGTTTAAGGATCGATTCCACTGCGCATGCGATTTTATCCTGAATTTCTCACCTTCTTTTGTATAAACCTTCTTTTGTTCTTAATTAAACAAAAGAAGGTGAGAAATTCGGGATAAAATCGCATGCGCAGTGGAATCGATTCTTAAACTATGAAAAGGCTAATTGCCATATTTCACTATGACGCTATATCAAAACAATCTATCGTTTAGATGCAAAGGATCATGGTCGTTGGATGGGGTCAAATCAACGCAAATTCACCGAAAATTGTTCTAAAACCCGTATCAATCCAAATTTTGTTGAATTTTCTATTGGATTAGGCGATTCTATCCCCCACATAAAAAAAAGCAGTGACGTCATAGTGAAATAGGGCAGTTTAAACAGTGAATAACTAGGGGGTCTTCTTTGATGTTATTCGTTTCTGCTCTTGTGAAGTTCCACTTTTGACCTTAGTCTAATGGTGGTATTGTCGCACCTATTCATTATTATTATTATTATCATTATTAATATTATTATAATTAATTGCAGGAAGCAATAAATTGCGTTAAAGACATTAACACTCCTGACATGCTCTACAAGCTTGTGTACATTGCTTTGAATCATTCTATGGAGAAACATTCATCAGAAAGAGTACTTACAGCCAAGCTGATGCATGCGTTACTCAAGAATAAAATTATTACAGAAGAAAGCTATATTAAAGGGTAAGTAAAGCCTTCACATTTTATTGATACCGTGAAACAACCTCTAATCTGTTCAAAGTCAGGGCATGGCTAACTCACAGATCAATCCCTGAAACAACCTCTAGGCTGATCTAAGTCAGGGCATGGCTAACTCACAGATCAATCCCTGAAACAACCTCTGGGCTGATCTAAGTCAGGGCATGGCTAACTCGCAGATCAATCCCTGAAGCAATCTCTGGGCCAATCAAAGTCATGGCTCGGCTAACTCTCAATTCAAGCCCTGGACATAGCTAACTCATAGATTGAATTGAACTTTAGCCTATTAGATTTTGAGGAGGGGAAAAAAGCAGATAACCCAGAGAAAAATCACTAATTCAAGGGACAGACCTAACAAGCTCTACGAACTGTGATGCGGAGTCCAGGAATTGAACTCAAGACCCTAAAGATCACACCAATCAAGACATGGAGAAATCTTTTGGGAGTTGAACTACAATAGGCTCAAAAGATGATGAGGATTAATAAGATCTCAAGTGCCTATTGGAACATTATTCAATGTTTGCACACCTCAAGACCAATCATGTGTCACAGGGGTAAAAAATGGTGATTGGGATTTTAGGGCTTAAAATAACATGCAGTCAGACCAGCCAAATTTGTTTTATATGGTCATATCTCATTTCTGGCTCAACGTTACTGGTCAAAATGACCAGCAAAGCAATATCTGACTGGAAAAGTTCTAATTCCAGGCAGACATTGTACGATGTCCAGCTGTTATTTTTTAGTCCCGGGATTTTAATGTCCACTCTTCTCCATCTATTTATAGGTTAGAAGAAGTACTAGAATTTGCTGAGGACATGGAAATTGACATTCCTCACATCTGGAAATATCTTGGAGAAATTACAGGAACTACCATTATAGATAATGTATTATCCTTGACCAGTCTGAACAAGTCAATAGAAAAACATGTCAGAGACAAAGAAAAAGCTGCTAAATTGATGGCAGAAGTTTTAATATCTGCTCGCAGTAGAACGGTAAGCTATCATCTGATATAATCTCAATTGAAGAATCATTGTCGGGTTCAGAAACGTAGAACATAAAGCTGAGACTGAGATGGCACATGAGAAATGACATAATTATATTATAATTTATTCATTTGCGTCATTCATGCAGTCGGTTTAGAATGGCAAACGCGTATTAAAAACAGTGGATGATGCCACGGGTCGCCGGACACAGCATGTATCTAATTAACGTACTTCCCATGTGTGCCATTTCGGTCTCAGCTTCTATGTTCTATGTTTCTGAACCCGACAACGATTCAATTGAGTGCATATAGCAATACCAAAAGAATTGATGTACTATATTAAGAGAATGACACGTGGTCTGAAATGGGAAAACACGGTCAAGCTGAAAAGGTCTATTAAATTTAGACTGATTTAGCAAAAATGTGTCATATTAAGCAGAGTCCTGCTTTTAAAAATCCCTTTTACTGGTTTCCAGCAAATCATTATTATCATTGTTTGTTTCAGGATCCTGCAGAAATCGACCAGCTATGGTCCCAATCTGGACTTTCCTTCAGCAACTTCTTTCCTTCTAAAGAAGAGGAGTTGCAGTTCCTTAAGAGTAATGTAAGTTGATAGAACCTGTTTTATTGCTTGGTGTTGATCAGGTGAATACATCCCTTAACCATTGCCTATAGACCCTTGCAGTACTTCGGAATGCAGATCAATGGAGGCTTTGCATCATCACATGATGGCAGCCATGACAGGAGGCACAACAATAGAGTCTTTTCCCACTGAGAAACTGATTTCTTTCTTATGTAAATCAGATTAGACCAGATTCAATTGTTCCTGCCTCCTGTCATGGCTGCCATCACGTGATGGTGCAAAGCCTCTACAGACTTCTTTAGCTTCGTTGTTTGTTGTGCACATTTCAGACCATGTGATGCCGGTCTTGGGAGTTGATTCTTTCATGTGTGAATATTTTAGCATGTTCATCTTTAAAAAAAACAATTCTCAAGGGAATGTCATGATCTGAAATGGGCAATTGGCATACGAAACAAAGAGGCCTATTTGGAGGACATAACAATAGGTTTCCAATTCTCAGAAAATTAAATTTCTTTCGTTTTTGTCCTCCAAATTGAGCTGCTCACATGCAAGGGGTCTGTAGACACTTTTCAGCCTGATTGTTTTAGAACATGTATCATTCCCTTGAGTGTCATTTCATTCTTACCGTTAGCACTAACACAACAACATGGATTCGACTTAAATAAAGAACCTTGTTCCCAAGAGAATAGAAAGAAACCCAAACAGCAGTCATGTTGGTGTACCCTGAAATTGAACTTTATTCTTATGCAGAAAACCGTGCAGAATGTTTCTTTTGTGTGATACACCAACATGGCTGACAATACTCAATACAACATTTCCCGTATTTTTTCTTTTAGAAATTAGAATCATTAGCTAGTGACTGCAATAGCACAAGCTCACAAAGCTCAAAGCCACACGCATCCAAGGTCCAAGAAGAACTTCGGAATTTAATTTTGGTTGAAAAATGCAATAATGAAGACGTCTTCAAATGGATCGACGTAAGTACTCGAGACTTGCCTTGTATTTCACTGCTGTGATCAATTCGCTTTGGTTAGATTACTCATAGTCTACTCTGCAGTCGTTATTAGTTCCGGCCCCAGACCCTCACGTGCCGTGGGGATCTGGGACTAAATGTAATGGCAGTTGCGGAGCAGTCTAGATTACTTAAAGTTAATTCTGTTGGTTGACTTTGAATCTCTTAACACAGGACAATGTGAGTGACCCTAAGGATCCAAAGTTTATTCGTACCCTCGTGACTGTCGTTTGCGAAGGCTGCAAAAAAGGTAACGTAACGTGATAGTCAACCAGTTGTGAAAGCTAAGCGCGCAAGGACACGTTTAATGGGTCTTCCTCTGTGGAAAGGGGGATACGGGGCGATATAGCCTTCTCTCCTTTTGCAAATACCCACAAAAGTTTTATTTATTCTTGTATATATTTTTCTACCATAATTTCAATTTTTTATAGCACGCCCTATTTGGGGGGTTGTTCTGCGATCCTTTGGTTATAGAAGAAGTGGTACATAATATTTTGAGATATCTAACAGTCGTCCCTTTTATTTTCTGTAGATGACGATTCCTGTGATATAATCTTTAAACAAAGAAGTCCTCTTTTACAGAAGTACATTGACAATAACAGGTCGTTGGAGCTACAAGCTCTATTCTCTTTACAGGCATTATCAGTAAGCCTTGATCATCCACCGGGTAAGAGAAAACACTATCGTCCTCGAGTTTCGTACCGCAAACCAGCTGAAGATGCATATTCTATTTTTTTAAAGTCCCGCTAGAAATCAATCCATTAAGGGTATTCGCAATTTTATTTCCGCTGTAACGAAATTGCTCCATTCCACTTTTTTTCCATTACAGACCACATTTCATTCCTTAGAGTATCATTTCTTTGTTTAATGGTTGTGCACGAGAAGACACGTGATGCAACTTAAACAAAGAATCTTATTCTCCAGAAAATGACGTGTGGTCTTAAATGGGAAAACGTTAGGCCCAAGGTAAAGAGGTCTGTTCCATCTATCCATCCATGAATGCAATGCAACTCAAAACAAATATGAATTGTATTCTCAAGAGTGACACGTGGTCTGAAAAGGGAAAATATTCTGCCTAGGTCAGGTGGATAAAGTCCATTCCATCCTACTAGGGACCCATTTCTATTCGGCGTAGGGTACCAAGCTATTTATGTGTGGATTGGAAAAAAAAGAAAGGATATTCTATAAGGTTTGTCAGCCCATATCAACATGGTTAGAGTTAAGTCCTTGAACGCAGTAATATTTTCAAAAGCAAATTTTACGACCCCTGTTCGTAAAAATGCATGGTCGCGATCCTTGACTTCTCTGTTGTAATCTACCCCGCCCCGACCTCGCAAAAGGAAGGAAGGAAGGAAGGAAGGAAGGAAGGAAGGAAGGAAGGAAG